TAATTACAAGGGTAAGGTCTGCGTACAACTGACCCCCCAAACCCCAACCTGTTTGGGAATATACTCGGTATGTTGATGTTGATGATGAATAATAATAATAATAATAATAGATAATTGCCCCTAAATACACTGTTTTACCTTTTTGGCAAAAACACAGTACTTTTTCTAGGAAAAAAAGAAACACAGCTTTGTTTTTTGCAAAATGATGCAAGGTTTTCAAGTGCATCGGAAACTGCGGTGGTAGCTGGAGCTTTTTTTTTTTAATTACAGTCAGGCCCAAAATTATATCAAATTCTAAAAATATGCCTCAATTTCTAAAACCATGGAATGAAATGAAATCACCATTCTCAACATCCTCAAAAGAAAAAGAATGAAGAATCATTGTCCTCAAAAAACCAAAAAAATAAAAAAATAAAATAAATAAATAAATAAATAAGTGGAAACCAAAAAGAAGAAAGTGGAAAGCAAGCCAACATTATCATACTTTAGAATCAGGCATCGTCAAGTCACCAGGTCCTGAATCTTGCCGAACCACCAGAAAATTCTCATCACTTTGAATCAAACTCCTCAAACAATTTTGTGTGTGCATGACTGTGTGTATGATTGTGTGTGCATGCTTGAGTGTGTGTTTTGTTCTGATGTATGCCACTTTGTATGCATGCATGAGTGTGTATGCTTCTGTATGTAACTGTGTGTATGTCTGAGAGTGCTTAAGTGACAGAGCCGGGAAAAAAAAGACGGGTCCCAAGTTTACTCTAAGTATCCCAATGGTGTAAGGCCGTCGACTTCTGGGGAAAAAGGACCCCTGCAAACAGCCTATTTGTACTAAGAGAAGAAGTAAAGCCGCTTCTCCCTTTGCCTCTCTTCGTGCTATGGCGGCAAAAGACGGCTTTGCCCATGAGTTAGCGATCAAGCGGAAAATGACTCTTTTTTAGCCTAGATTTCAAATTTAACGGGAAAAATTATTGAGAATTTGACCAAGTTTACGGCCTAGTTGTATTTTTTGAAATTTTTCCCATTGTCGTCTCATCTTCGGACAACCGGAAGTGAAGCCCATTTATCATTCTTTTTTTTCTTTGGCCAACACTAGAAAGTAGGGCCTTTTGCAAACCAATAAATGTAAAGTTTGTGCTTTTGGATGCATTTAGTTCTAATAATAATTTTATCATAATGTTAGCTAAATGGAAAGATAGTGCACTCTTCTACTCACTATTTATCAGCTAAGACAATTCAAATTTCTTAAACTATTTACAGATCAATTAAAATTGGAACCAGGCGACAAGGCAAGGCATTTAAAAATGCCTTCACGTACAAAAGGGCAATCACCATCTCAGGCTGAAACACAATGTAAACAAATTTACAATGTCACGATTTCAGATAGCGGTTGAAGATACTCACCAACTTTTTTCTTCCGTGCAGAGGATGTGATTAGCTCCGTAACTTTCTTGGTCTGAAGATGCACATTTTGAACCAAGCTCTTTTGCTGTCTTGAAACACTTGGGCTGGCAAGATCCCGAGAGTTCCTTCCTACTGCTCTTTTTCTTGTCTGCATCGCGCATTTAGATTATCCCAACCTGGACACATTTCCATTAAAATTGAGCAGAATTCTCCATAAGGTGCAAAATGATACTCCTCCAGTAGGCCACCGATGAGGAGGACAAAAAAAATATGTCCAGATGTCGTACAGTAAGTATTAGTTAGCTACTTTTATTGCACTGTCTGGTATTTTGTTTCGTGAAAAGAAAATTACATATTAAACGAGTGGGTTCACAAAGATCATTAACAAGCTTATTTTTTTTCTGATGGAGATTAGTACACTTATCATTGTTGAGCACAACCACCCACCCATTGAAGTGCCCCGGTGTGTGTATATAAATCAAATCTAAAACTTTTTACACTCAGACCAGTTGGTGAATCAAAGCAATATAAATTCCGCAGGGAATAAAATACCCAAAGCAGAAGCTAGTTGTCTTTACTAAGCAACAACACTTGAAAGCATAGAAATTGAAAAAAGCGCCGGATATATATTTTCTGCATGAATTTAAAGACAAAAAGATGTATTTTTTCATTCAAAGATAAAAAAGAATAAAGCTTTGAAACATATTCCATTCAATATTCACCATTATCCCCACGCTTTAGCTCAACTTAAAACCCTAGAAACCAAACAAGAACTCCACAGCTGAACCAGTGAAGGAGTGAATTTAAGCATAAAACAGAACTCAAGAGCTCAAAATCCATGAAAAATGCTGCCAAGAACAAATAATTAATTACCAGAAATTAATTAGACGCTTGGAAGATCACATGAATGAGCTGCTCATAGAGGTGATTCAGGACAAAATGATGATTTTTTTGAGTCAAATTTTTCGAGATCGAAATTAAATTTTGGCCTTTCCCTCCAAAGATTGGAAAATGGAGAAAAGTAGAGGGAAATGAAA